GTGCCAAGGAAGGTCCGTTTTCACACGATCAGGATTTTTTCCGGAGTTTCGTTAAGCATTTCCAGCAGGACTTCAACCGCTGTCCTCCAAATTTGCTTTCTTGACCACTTATCCTCTTTGAACACTGGAAGCTGGTGCGGATCCACCCACAGAATAGGGAATTGAAACCGACTTGCGACATACGAGGATGAATCTGAAGACGCTTGTGATGTGGACTGCGCTTCCTCGAAGTTAATCAGATATGAAGCGACGAGAATTACAGTAAGTTCCATATAATCTATTTCATTAGATATTAACCTCTAAAACTTTCTTAAAAAAATCAGAACGTGGAGCAACAGCCACTATCTTCGAAATATTATTTTCAAAGCGCATTAATGTTCAACTCTTCACATCTTCAGTGTGAATATCTTTGAACATAGCACAAAATTCTCCTTTGTTTTGTGCATTCAGACTTTTCTTTTTCCGGTGTTGAAGCGATAATCAGGGATATTTCACACAGTGACGCAGTAGATAGATGCATTATAAAATACAGAAATTTACGAAACAGCCATTAGTGTGAATAAAGCTGAACAGACGCCTCTGCCCTAACTCAACGTTTTTGAGATTTGATGGTTACCAAATTTACTAATATCCAATTTCACGACTTAACAATGGACTTTATCTTGCTACTACACAGCGTAATGTTTGACGTATGACGTAGTGGCTTCAAGAACAGTTTTCTGATGTATAAGTAAAAGCTACAAAAGAAAAGGGAGGACGTCTTTTTCAATGTCAGTCTTAAAATGAAAAAATTTCTGCGCCACTGTAAAAGAAAATCCGCTCCATCTTGTAATCTTCTTCGCTCCATCTTGAAACCGTAGGCAAACAGCGAAGAGTTAGGAGAATTTTGTTTCACGTTCAGAGCCATTCGTAGTGAAAATAAGGTGAATTGCTTATTAACTGTGTTCAGTGGATGCCGTCGACTTTCGATTAGGGGACGATTCCAGCTATCGAGATGTCACTCTACTGTTTCAACTCTCGGCAAGCTCTTATTTTGAATTATCCTGTAAGGGATCAAACAGGCAGTTAATAAACGACTCCTAAGAAACCAAACCGGCTTGCGGATAGGCTACTGTTACCGCTGACCGGACTTCTACTCTGTAGGATCATCGAATACCGTCGACGATTCCATCTCCATTGGTTTGCCAGTTTTTTAGACTTTAAGGCTGCACTTAATTCATATCATGGTCCGACGATGCGGAAAACCCTGAAATGCTATGGGATAGTTGTCAGCGTTGAGCGAGGACTGTCTCTGTTGTTATCTATTACTGTAGAGTTCGCTAAGGAGATGTGCTTTAGTTTTTGATATTCAACATCGTTCTTGACATTCTTCTCCCAGATAGTGCTGATTCTAGCAAGGGAAGGCTCAGTTCCAAATATTGTACCACATATCTTGCTGACCCGGAGCATATAGACGATACTGCCGTGATAAACACAGCAGACAAGCATTTGCTTGAGGATCGGTTACGGGAAAAATTATAGTAGTCTTGTGACGGACCATGAAGCTTGTTGGGGAGAATAGTTGCAGTTACGAAGTTAAAAGTATTGGAATTGTCCCAGAAAATGGAGTTGGCGAGTTTTTGAGTCTTGATTATTTCTCTGGCTCTGTGAAGGTGGAGTTAATGAATTTTGAATGAAGA